GTTTGTCTTAGGGTCTTCAATAAAATCCAGAGAGAGATATGCAATGTGGTTGGCTCTGATCTGGCATCTCATTTACAGTCGCTCTCTGACGGACTTGCCGTCGCTTTCCTCTGTCTTTTCATGGTAACTGCTCCAATGAGCTGTTTTCACTAGTTCCTAAACCATATGAATTTAAACATGCCACTAGGTCAGCATCTCAGTCCCATCCTTTCACTGTCAAAATGGTTAAATGTAGCCATCTCTTCTACTCCAATAGCTTTATATCTTGCACCTTCCATCTGTGGAATTCCCTTCCTCTTACTTGCTTCCTTGATAGCTATAATTTTCAACTATTCAAATGCAATGTCAATCAACATCTCCAGATGCCTTGATCTTTTCCTTGTCCTTCTTTTCATCCCTTCTTCTTTCATGCCTCTTTACTTTTACTCCCACTAATCTCTTGCATGCTAGTGGCATCCCGCCTTGTTTGGAATGAAAAGTTAAAAAACAAATAATTATGTATATACAGGAACAGGTATTTCAATGTGGTGTGGCCATATGACTCAGAATCAGAGACAGTGGAAACAAAGCCAGTAATAAATGAGTAATAAATGAGTAGTACTAAAAAGAGAACAGTGGAAAAAGAACAATCTAGTCTTGTGGATTAAATAAAGGGTTCAGTTCAGAATTCCCTGAAGGTCACTCAGATCAATAGACACCTGAAGAAATATGGAAGGCATAGCTTACCAAACTATAAATAATATAAGTTTCTAAATATCTGGTTTATTTATTCAAAATAGTGAAGTGAGTTTTACCAAGAACTTTTCAGCACTCCCTCACAAGATAAAATGACCTAAGTTTAGAATATTTACAGTCTTTCAGATTTAACAGGAAAAAAATGTTTATTTTTTTCAAAATTTACTTGTAATATTTCAGTGCAATTTTGAAATTCTTCCAATTGGTGATGACAAGATAATTTCTTTTATAAATGCATTTCCAGAATCAAAAAGTATAAACTTTAATGCCATTTTCACATCAGAAATATTTTTTAAATTTGAAATTTTCTTTTTACAACTGTTTGATCTTCCATACACAAAATAAGCTAATAGTCATAAAAAGAAAAAAAGAAAACAAAATTTAAAAAATATTCTTAAAATATTTCAGATGTGAAAATGGCATTAAAGTTTACATTCTTGTTCACATCATGTTGAAGATTAACAGGCAATTATTAGAGTACATCGAAAAAAAAAAAAAAAATTTTTTTTTTTTTTTTACAGACATTCACTACAAATCAAATTGCATTTACCAATCTCAAAATTATCCAAAACGCTATGGTGTTATTAACCCCTTCCCTGGCACAGACATGTATATACGTTTTTATCAAAAGTGTCTTTTTCAAACACGGATGAATACACATGTCCAAAACATAATGTTCAAAAACCAGCTAGGGATATGTTTACAGAATCTTTATGTTCTTCTGAGTTTGAAAAGAGCCCAATTGTCAACTTATGTCTGGTAGAGGTGTTAGCAACTGCTTGGGGACTTCAAGGTGCCCCAGTTTCTTAGTTACTATATTAAAAACAAATAAAAAAATTTGTCTGAAAATGAAATTTTCCCCCAAAAATAATTGGTGGTGGTAGAGGGGTTAATATTACTTTTATATTCCAAGAATTAGGACTCAAGATAAACCTTTCCAAAACAGAAACAATGATCTGGAATTGGAATGAAAGCAGTGATGTCAGCCACCATGAATCCATCAAAGATTCAAGAGGTGTAATTAGTACATAAATAAACACTTCAAATATTTCAGAGTATGGATCAGTTATAACAAATTTAGTATAGGAAATTGAAAATATAATAGACTAGCAAAGGAAATTGAAAATATAATAGACTAGAGATAGTTTTGCTCAACTGCACACACTTCCCTAAACACCAAATATTAACCTAAAATCTACAGTGATGTTCTTAAAAGAAAATCAGATGAAGACATTCATATAAATGCCATACATGGTGGCAAGCTTATTCAGAAATATCTAAACTGTCAGCTGTTTACAGGGTGCAATGGGTAAATTGATGCCATTTTATATTTTTAATTTTGTGCATATGTGTTGTTTGTTTCTATTTTGTCAACTGCACAGTATAGTAGGGTCAGTTGGGCACCTTCTGTGAGAAAAAGAGCACCTTGATGCAATTCATTCCACAAGAAATTTGGAAACAGCATGTTATACTGCTTGGCATTCACATCAGAAGCTACAATACGAATATTTCAGAGTGTTTGGGTGTTGGTGTTTCAGAGCAGGAGATGCTGTGTCCCCAAAAGACATACCAAGAGTGATGAAAACCAAATATCCTGTGAACATTGTGGTATTCAGAGTGATCACTAGTGATGGTGATGTTATGCCTCAATTCATCTTCCCATAGGGCCTCAGACTCAACACAGCGGCCTACATCAAGTGCTTTGAAGAGGTAGTGCTGTCCTGGGTCAAGAGGGTGACTGTTGGAAGACCCTATATCTGGCAACAGGATAAATGCACACAAGCAGGAGAACCCAGTCATGGCTGTCCGATAGTTTCGGTAACCGCATCAATTCTTACACCTGTCACCTAACTCCTCAGACTGCAACTCCTTTGATTATTACGTGTGGAACGCAGTTGAGCGAGAGATCAACAAAACTCTTTATCAACACCAAAGTTGAACTGAAGGTGAGGATTTTGGCAGCATTTATCAACTTAAACATGGAGACTGTCCAGAAGAGTTGCAGGAGATTCTGAATTCATCTGGAGGCTATGTTTGCAGCCAATGGCAATTTTATTGAATAAATTTACTCTTTAGTATTTCAAGATATTTTTGTGTAATTTTGATAAATATATCTGTTAAAATGAGATGTCGTGTTAATTTCATATTTGCATAATTTAGATTACAATTTATCTATCGCACTGTTTAATTGCTTTCTCAGATGGTTGGTTAAAAATGGCTTTCAGGAATGAAATTACAGAATTACAAAGAACTGTATGAGATAACAGAAACCCCATCACTTAAGGACTTTCATCAGCAGCAACAGTTAAAATGGGCTGCACAAAGAGAAAATAATGACATAAACAAGATGATGACACTACTTCAATTAAATTTTAGGAAGGAAATTTCCATCATTACTGGAAAGAGCAATAACAGCTACTGGGCTTGAGAAACCTTTTTCCTGAAAAATTGTTTTCTTGTTGCCACTTTTGTAATGTCAACGAATACTCATTATCACTTTTGTAATTGCAGATACAACTATAGTAATGCTGTTGAACAATACTGGTGTCAGATGACTTCAAATAATGCTCGCACTAATAGTGCTTGCTCGATAATACTCACTTGAAAAGTAACCATTGAATAGTGACCCATATAGTAATAGAATAGTGATCAGTATAGGTGAATAGTATAGGTGAATAGTATAGAGATAGAGGATACAGTAAGTCATATAGTAATAGAGGATAGAATACAAATAGTGATCATTTAGATGTCACGCTAATTCCCATATATACATTTCCTTTGCTATCACATGATCTACTTATTCAAAATGGGATTCCGTGTTTGCTCTCTGGCGATCTATGTTTAAACTCCAGTGTCAGCAGTGACACTTTATTCCTATATAACAGATATTAATATATTATATATTAGGGTGCATCTAAACAGTTTGTTTTACTTTTTAATTTTACATAAATTCCTTCCACATTGTGTTTTATGTATGCATCTGAAAATTATAACTATTATATTAATAGGTATAACAGCAGTTTTAAGGCATTTTTTCAATTTTCGTTATAATTACTACTACTAGAGCATCAAAAATGTTTTTTTAACATGTATCTATTTCAAACTTATTACATAGATAAAGATGATGTATGACTCCACAATCTTACTTATTATAAAACGCAGGTTGTGTGTGGGTATGTGTGTGGGTATGTGTGTGTGTTTATATATGGGATCAGATTTCCTACATTTTTCAACCGATTTCAACAAAACTTCACAAGACTATGCAAAATTACCCGGTGGTGGTTCTGACAGTGCCAAAAATTGGAAAAACAATTGTTTTTGCACGAAATCAATTTGAAAGCATGGGTAAGGGCCATTTATGCAGATTTTTCGCAGTCTTTGGACGATGTTTTGTTACCGAGCCACCAAAACAAAGCAAATGGTCCGGTTTCTGATAGTACTAATGCTTGGCTATCTAACAAGTACCAAATTGTTTGCAAGACTGTCGAAACAGCTTGACCAGGGAACCATAAACGGAGATACCAAGGGACAGGATTTAGCCCTCTGAACACACATTCACTGGCACAGTATGTACAGTTTTGTTTTGATTCAAATTAAATTTATGACAAACTTGCAGCTTACTATCATCTTTATGTGTGTCAAATTTCAGAATTTTTCAGCAAAAATAACCATAGCTGCACGCGGATCAATCTTTTTTGTAACTTCCTTACACACACACACAGCTGTGTACAACCGAGTCCGCATGTCGATACCAAGACTGCTGCAAGCCTATTGGTCGCTTTCACAGAGCTTGACCTTGGGGCCTGTCCAATCTCCGCACAGGATTTCTCACGTTATAGTGATCGCGTGTCAACTTATGTGTAAGTGTGCTCAAGGTCAACCACCTCTATTGCGTGACTCGGGCGTGCTTTCATACTTCTGTGTTTATTGTTGCCCTCATGCACGCACTTGGCTTACTTTATTCACCTACTTCGGACACTGCAAGTTGTTGATTACATGTTCTAGCTGCTTTTTTGTTTTATAGTTCCAACCCAACTCCACACATGCTAGCTAATTGTACTAAAACCCATTTCCTTTTGGACTTACCCTTGGTTTACCTTTTTAAATTTCCACTTTTTTAGTTTCGAGTTCCCCTTTAGTAACATCTGAACTCCTTTTACTGGGTGTTCCCCTTTTTGTGTCTGTTAGCAGTGCACGTTTTTTTGTTTTGGATTTGTCGAAATCTCTTTTTAAGCTTTACACTCTTTGACGTTTTTACTGATTGGATGCCACCTAAAACGAGGAAACTTTTGGGACGGTGCACGGCAGCTGCCTCCGCTGCTAGAGCAGCAAGGGCGAGTGAAACCCCTGAACAGACTTCTTTGCTTCTTTCACGGATGGCCTCAAGCTCAGCTGCTTGCTTATCTACAGAAAGGGTTGCTGCGCGGACTAAAAGGTTGGCTTCAACGATGTCCGCACGCCACGCCAGGCTTTCAGTTGAAGAACGTTCACTTCAGAATTCACAGGACGCCACTACCAAAGCTTGCTCCAGGAGTTTAGAAAGCCCCGAACAAACAACTTCACATCATCTTAGGAATACTTGGGCTACAGCCGCCTCCAGAGCTTCGGAACAACCCCAAGAAACCGCTCATCATCTTATTAGAAATGCCTATCCACCGCATCTGCCAGAGCCTTACAAAGCCCTGCACAGACCACTGTTCATCTCGTTAGAAATGCCCGCTCTACTGCATCTGCTAGAGCCCTAGAAAGCCCTGCACAAACCACTGTTCATCGTGTTAGAAATGCCCGCTCTACTGCGTCTGCCAGGGCTGTCAACAGCTCGAAAACATTAGCAACATCGATCTTCTTTGAATTGTGTAACTTCAACGTCTGCGTCATTTTGGTCAAATGCTGCATACACTTATGATTGCACTGTCAACTATTCCGCTAGGAGAGACATACAAATAGGGGCCATGGATAACGTTTGGGTTGAAATCACACGCAAACTTTTTCCAGGTCAGCAGTACTCACACCACTCTGAGCTAATTGCCCGCGTTTTCCGGTTACAGCTGTGTAAAGGGCAAGTCTTCGGACGTGTTAAGTGTCATATATATATATATATATACACACACACAGTGGAATGGCAGAAACGCGGTTTGCCTCATGCCCACATTCTGCTGTGGCTCAACGATAACATTGACGCAAACAAAATAGACGATTTTATTTCTGCTGAAATTCTGGATCTGCACTGGATCCTTTGCTCCACGAAATCATTAAAAACAATATGATACATGGCCCCTGTGGTGCGAATTACGAAAAAAAGGCCATGTTGGTCAAGCGGCCCCACTTGCGCAAAAGGTTACCCCCGTAAGTTTATCTCAGAAACGCAGACGTAGAAGCCCTGCTGAGGGCGGCAGAACTGTGAGAGTTAAGGGGCACACTCTGGACAATCGTTGGGTGGTGCCTTATTGCTTGCTGCTGTCCAAGACTTTTGGAGCCCACATAAACGTTGAATACTGCCACTCGGTTAAGTCAATAAAATACATCTGCAAGTACGTTAATAAAGGCAGTGATACTGCCGTTTTCGGTATCCGGCACGACAATTGCGTTGACGAGGTGGCTGATTACGTGGCTGAACGCTACCTCAGCAGTAGCGAAGCCTTTTGACGGATTTTTGGATTCCCCTTACACCAAAGGGCTCCAGACATTGTGCAGCTTCCTGTTCACTTAAAAAATGGACAGAGGATGTACTTCACCAAACAAAATGCCCAGCAGGTTGCGGAAATCCTAAAGACACAACCCTAACGGCTTTCTTTAAATTATGCTGAACAGATGCTTTTGCCAAAACATTGATATACCCCCAAGTGCTGTCCTACTATGTGTGGTCAAACAACTGGTGGGTTCGGCGAAAGGCTGGCGACCCTGTCAAGGGTTATCCTGATGTAAGGTCTAACTCTCTGCTGGAGGATGAACTTCTCAGAATGCCATCACAGCTTCGAACACTGTTCGCCATTTTGCTTTTGTGATGCGAACTAAGCGATCCTCTGTCACTCTGGCTAAAGTACAGAGAATCCATGTCAGAGGATGTGCTGTTCTCCGTTCAGCGTAACAGCCTAGGAGTTGAATGCAGTTTCACTGACTTCATATTCAACAGAGTGCTGGTGGCCCTAGATGTTGTCGTTTTCGAACTGGGAGGTGCCTCTTTACCAACTTATGGTTTACCATCACCGCTCAGAGACGGTTTTGACACTGTACCAACTGAGTTATTGTGGGAAACATCCTACTCCATCAAGGGGCTGAACGCATACCCAAAATGAGCCCAAACTGCTACCTGATCAGAGGGTTGCTTTCACTACCATAACAGACAGGGCAAATGGCTCCAGCGGAGGTATATACTTTTTAGATGTGCCCGGAGGAACTGGCAAAACTTTTGTTACTAAATTAGTCCTGACAGAGGTACAGCATCGTGGGGAGATCGCTATTGCAGTCGCATCTTCCGGGATTGCTGCAAAGTTGCTACCAGGAGGTAGAACCGCTCATTCGGCTTTTAGGTTGCCACTTGATCTATGCTGGTCACAAACTCCTATCTGCAACATAACAAAGAATTCGCCACAGGCTGAAGTTCTGCGGAGATGCAAACTTATAGTTTGGGATGAGTGCACGATGTTACACAAGGGCACCCTTGAGGCACTTGACCGAAGTCTCCAAGACATCCGCGACTCCTCCGACTCCATGGGTGGAGTAACCCTTCTCCTCGCAGGTGACTTTAGGAAGACTCTACCTGTTATTCCTAAAGGTAGATGCACTGATGCTGTCTGCACTTGCCTGAAGTCATCTGCCCTTTGGCACCACGTGGAGACTCTTAAACTGAGCACGAACATGCGTGCCTACTTGAATGGGGACTCTAGATCCGCTGACTTTGCACTGCACCTTCTTGCTCTTGGGGAGGGTTAAATGCCATCTGACACACAGTGCAGATAGATCAGCTTGTCACCACTGTTGAATCATCAGATGAATTGCAGTCTTCTACAACTTATCCACTAATTTTGCCGATGCCGATTGGCTTGCTGGGAGGGCCATATTGGCACCGAAGAACTGTACAGTTGATTCCATCAACCTTAAACTGTTGGATTACATTCCCGGGCAATGCCATGTTTATAAGTCCATCGACAGAACTTCCGATCCATCTGAATTAGCTGAGTATCCCATAGAAGTTTTGAACTCCCTTCAGCCGTCCAGACTCCCACCTCATATTCTTCGGCTCAAAGTTGGTGCTCTGATTGTGCTAATCAGGAATTTGCTCCCACCAAAACAGTGCAATGGGACTTGCCTCATTATTAAATCCCTTTCTCTGAACCTGATTGAGGCAACCATTGCAACTGGCTGCGGCAAGGGGGAAGTCATTCTGATTCCCAAGATGCATCTTCTGCTGTCAGATGCAAGCATACCAATCAACTTTCTGTGAAGCTTTGCTTTGGTACGTCCATTAACAAATCACAAGGACAGATGCTTAGCATCGCAGGTCTGCATTTGCGTGAGCATTGCTTCTCTCACAGCCAACTTTATGTTGGGTACTCACAAGTCGGGTCTAAGAACAGGGCTTTCATTTACTCTCCCAACAACTGTGCTAGAAACATAACGCGCCCGGTAGCGTTTAAGCGCCATGCACACATATGCAGTCCGATTGCATGGCAATTTTTTGTTTGTTATATTGGTTTTAATGTTAGGTCATTGTAGTCTTCACTTGCCATCACTAAGACATCTTTGTAAAGGTTATCCAGCTCTTTTGCTGCCTTCTGGCTTTCATACCTTCACCCGCCATCATCACGTTTGTTTGTACACTATGATAACCCCACCGTATTCAGTTGCAACACAAGCTGCTAGACACACAAACACAGGCAGTAGACATGACTGCTCCACTAAAGTTCTGGTTTCATTAACAGTTGATCAGAGCACCTGCAGTTCGTACCAGTGCATACACGCACATTCACACTTGAGAAGCTTCGGAGTTCATTTAATTGTCACTGAAGTCGAGTGCGTCTACGAAATTCAGGCTTCTTCCATATACACTTTACGGCTGACATGGGGGAAACATGTCAGCCATACGGCTCTATTGTTTTGTTTGTAGTTGTGTAAAAAACCCTAAAAACACATGCCAAGTACGGCAACCCCAGTCAGTTTTCATAAACTCTCAGACGTGATGTTGATTGCAACTGAAGAGAAGGCACTTTTTCATTGCAATTGAGGCACTTGGTTGTACAGCGACCCCGGTCCAGTTCCATGAGCTCGCAGCGTGATGTTGACTGCGACTGAAGAGATGGCACTTCTCCATTGTTATTACAGTGCTTGGCCTTACGGCTACCACCGTTGCAGTTTTAAGGGCTCTCAGCCGCGATGTAGATAGTGACAGAATAAAGGAAGTTGTATCACAGAAATTTTCTTACCATGACACCTCGTCACCATTTGTTCTTATCTCGGTTTTATGGTTCTGCTTTGTGGTCGTGGCAGTGCTGTCTTTTGGGCATAAGACGCATCTTTTAGTTAGACTAGCAGTTTGTTTGTGATTGCACACAGCACATACTTTATGTCTTGGGTTCCTCAGGGCATGTTTTCCCTTCAATCCCTGTGCATGTTGCAACTGAAATGTGGTTTCTTGACTACTTACCACAAGTGCTTCCAGCAATGCTTAATGGTCCAATTGGTTAAAGCAGTAACTGCTGCCAGCTTTTACTCACAGATGTCTTAGTAATGGCAAATGACTGATGCTACAACGGTTTCCGTTACTTCCTTTGATACCTTCAAATACTTGTGCCTGCATGATGTCTGCTTAAACTTTGTGTGCATTGCGTTTCAACGTTTTGTAGAAACTTAGTTCCTGTCGACTTACAAAGCACATCTTTCAAAGCAACAGCCATCCCCAACTCTTACTGTTACATTCCCGGGCAACGCCGGGCTCTACTGCTAGTATTATATATTAGAGGGTAGCAAAAATTATTTTTGTTTTCAGAGGCCTTTACTCCAATGTTTACATAAATATCTAAAGACAATAGCTTTACTATATTAGTACTGTATCTCATATCAAAATACCTAAAGACTATGACTTTATTATTATTGCATTTCATGTTGAAACATCAAAAGACTATGATACTATTATTATATTTCATATCATTGTCAATGTTATAAAGTTCACATTTTTTTCTTGTTATAATGATAGATGTATATACTAAGAATCTGGCAATTTTGAGGCATTATTTCAAAATTAGGCTTTAAAGCCACTTGTAAAATTCAAGAAACAGAAGAAAATATAACCATACTACCCAAAATTGATTGAAGTGTTTTAAGGATGGTAGGTTTTCTTTTGACATATGAGAATATTTAAAAAAAAAAAAAAGAGATGAAAATAAGTCTAGTACACATGTATAGGGTGGATGAGTTTCACCCATCTAACCTTTTTTTAAAGATACTGATAACTTGTTTTTTGGGTATCAGGCTTCATTATGAATGATATCTTTTTAAATAAATCCCCAAATATAAGTGATTGAAACATCTATTTGGCTACCTCATTATTCTCTCTCTATTTTATATATATATATATATATAGTGGCCAGTACAACATTTATATAGTATGTATATAATGCATTAAAAAAATCCTTTTCTCTGCTGTGCACCAATAGTCTAGGGGTAAGATTCTCTGACTGATGTCAAATCAAGTTTCAATCAGAGCCTGAAGCAATCAGATGTCTAGCCATACTGATGAGCTGTTTTA